AGAAAAAACACATTTAAATGAAAGAATAACTTTTTTTTATATAAAAAAATATTTTAAACAAAAAAATTACTAACCGATTTTTAAAAAATTTGTATTGTTGTAAAGGCGATTAAACCCCCTTTTTACTTATGTGCATATTTGTAAACTTCGTGAATAAAAATTTGAGAAAAAACACTTAAAGGAAAAAATAACTTTTTTTATCAACAAAAATTTTAAACTAAAAAAATTACTCACCGATTTTTAAAATATTGGCATCGTTGTTAAGGCGATTAAACCCCCTTTCGTCTAATATGCATATTTGTATACTTCGTAATTAAAAATTTGAAAAAAAACACATAAAAGGAAAAAATACCATATGGTGCCTAAAATCTTAAACACAATATTTTTGTTAAAAATAATAATAACAATGGTCTATTATTATATTATTTAAGAGTTATTGGGGTCGGTAAATTCCAATTTGAAACCAAAATAACTTAAAAAAGTTGCCGAACCAGCATGGCGCCTGAAATTTAAAGAAATGTGTTTAATTTGAAAAATATTGATTAAATTCACGTAGTATTGAGTTATATAAGAGTTTTTAAGTTTGTATTTAAAATTCTTAAATAAAAACGCCATTGAATTATAAATAATAATGTTTACGTGCATCTTACACAAAATTGGTTGAAAAAATTTGGTTCAAAAAATCACTTTCATAAAAACTTTTAATATTATGTGATACAAGTGTTAAACAAAAGGTCGGACGCGTTTGGATTCAATATTTAGCATTATAGTTTAAAATATAATTATCTTGAAATAAACATAAATTTTTTATTCGTGAAAAATGGAGAAAATTACTTATGACTTTTCATTAAACTGTTTTTGATAAAAAATTCACTTGAATATTACATTAAATACTAATCAGTTAAACATATTAAAAAATTTTTAAATTATATCTTATATAGAAGTCACCTGAACTTCTTCAGAAGAAATTTAGAAAATTAAAATCGATCTTTAGACTTAAGCATCACATTTTATGTTCTCAGAGTACTGCGTCAACTAACACTTTACCACTGATCATACAAACAGGTGCAAAAGGTCGAGACCTGTCTTGGACATATTTCGATAGCTGTACATATGTAGCTCATTCATACCCAGTGCATGATAAATATTTAATGTATGTAAGGATTTTTTATGAGTTTTAGATTCTACTACTTATTCTACTACTTTTTTCTGTTAAAGAGAAAGAGTATATTTGATTAAAAATTTCCATGATTTAGCTTTCCCCGACTCCGTATATACACATTTGATGTTGATCATAGTTTTTCTCTCTTTACTTGTAAAATAAACATTTCTAAAATGAATGTATTTTTTAATTATTTTTCGGGTTTTCTCTTTTTTAGTGTCTTTTTTTGCCTTTTGTTTTGATTTCTAGTACCTTTTCCTGCCCATTTTGTTATTTGATTTTTCCTTTTTTATAGGTTTTTAGGTCCTAAATATCCGTTCCCTGGTAATAAGCATTCTGTTTCCAAAAAGTCTACAAAAAAAAAGTATACTAAACCGTATTCATTCCTCGATTACTAGATAATGCAAAATTGAATGCCCCACTTTTCGTAGGACATCGCCCTGGGGGAAAAATGCATTTTCGAATGTGAAAACGGCTGTTTTACTGATTATCGCTTACCATACATTACATTTTCCCACTCGGATAGGTACATACATTTGTATGTATGTATGTATCTATTTGACATGAAAACCGTGAAACTCTATACCTCTTCGCACAAAGATAGTTTTGTACGTACGTATGTACGTATGTATATTAAATTCACGTTGTAAGTAAACTCCCTCACGCTTTGTTGCATAGTAGGTGTCTGTTGTACATAGTACATAATATTATATACATAGGTAGGTATAGGTATGTAACACATATGAGTACTAACATATGACTATGCAAATAGCAATATAAATATGTAGGTTTACTCCATTACGTTTAATCAGTCCGTTTTTTTTAACGCTCGCCAACGTCGGGATCAAAGTCCAACTAAAGCAACCAAGAGCAAAAAATTAATGCGTACATTTTGTATAGATGTACATATGTATATGCGATTTTGCATGTTTCTATACATACAAATATATACATATATAAAAAAATATATAAGTATATAAATTTGTTTTCAAAACCATTGCCACTTACAAACTCTCAGTGCATTTATTTGTGAACATAAACAGAGAAGAAAAACTGTGCCAAGCGAGAAAACATTTGAGAGCGAATCGAGTTCACAATGATCAATCGATCATAACGATAATAAATGCTCACTTTCGCTATGTATTTAGTCTCTTTGTGTGAAAAAAAATCTCTTCAAAAATGTAACATTAATTTGTCTCCGAAAAAATTCTGAACATACACAGGAAGCAGTATTTGAAAACATAATTGAAGGGCATTCTTTTTGTTTTTTGTTTTTAAGAAAATTCTAGACAGAGCCTATTCGTGCTTTACCAGGCTTAGCATGATCATTGCGGAACTACCTTTATGTAACCTAAATGACTTTGTGGCTGTAACTTTATATTTTAATCACTAACTCTGAAATAAGGCATTATTCAATAAAATTCTGAAATATGGCGTTCTTGAAAAGTTTTCTGAGATAGGGCGTTTTCGAACTGGCTGCCGAGTTAGGTCGATTTTCCACTCAGCCGTCGATATATGTACATACATACATATATATGTATATATGGGATATAGATATCAGGGAATTAGATATGCGAAAATTGTAAAAAAAATATGGTAAATAATGTCGGTGTTTCCATGATGTCGGACGTGACACTCGTACGACTTTAGGATTAAATAAATCATACGAAAACTCAAGTCACTTATAAAAAAATTTTGCCCTTGTGGTTGGACAAAAAAAAAGTTGCGCTTGGAACACTGGTATCGAGAAGCTCGATGAAAAGGAGGTCATAACGGACGTGATAAAAATAGAAGTGGTTTCGGAGTAAACCAATTACAACCAATTCATTTCTAATCCGGAGCAATTCGTTTTTGGTTTAATTTTGAATTAAAATGTGATAACGGACTTGACATATCAGATGTGAAAGATTTTTACAATGATCGTAGATACTTTTCAGTTTACATTTTTATGGAAAAGTTTATGAATGTAAATAATCGAGGGAGCCAAAAAAATAAAACCTTATAAACTGTGAAACATGAAAAAATTTGCCAGAAGAGGGGTTCACCATAAAATAAATAAAATGTAAAGACTTAAAGATAAAAAATTACTTAAAATAGCTGAAAGCTTCAAGAAAGCTCCGAAAACGTGATCTTAAAGGCCAAAATACAATACGGCGTTGTCAGTGACAGCTTTATTTGACATTCCCTTTTGTTTATTTACATTTTTGTTGTTGTCTTTTAGGCTTCAGTGACATGAACAGAAGTTGGCTGCATTTTATTTATGTCAAATTCAGCATGCGAAGTTTACTGCGATGAAGGCAGTGGCATTGAATTTAGAATTTGGGCTAAACTGAGCAGTACTGCCAGCTGCCACTGCTGCATTGTGAGTCGCTTCATTGGACACCACACTTTCTAAAAAAAACAGCTGATTTCGAAAAGCTGCCACTGCCACTACGTTATTGTATTTTGGGCTTTACACTTCAAAATTTATGGATCTGAGACTTACGATTGGAACTTCCATGTATATGGAACGGAGGCTTCAGAAAAAATATGGCATTGCATCAAAATCTGTCCACTCTCTCTGAAGTAGTTATTCTTGGGCGGGGGTGTAGTGGTTAGCAGTGCGCGCTACCTGTTCAGAGCCAGCGTAAACTCTAGGTGCCTCGCCTTTGTGCCACAACTTCAAGGCGCACGCCTCAAATTGGAGGAGAAGCTCGGCCAATAACTAACATACATTGTATTTTTTCACACTTTATAAATAGAAGAGCAAATCATCATATCTCTTATATTTTGAACTCTGATTGCTGATCATTTTGTTTTTTGTTTGCGTTGGTTGGCGCGCCCTCTTCACAAGTACTTAAATGCATACATACATATGAATATATCTAAATATATTTCTTTCTACGTCTGCTGCCTATGTATGCAACTACTGTACATATTTACATATGTAAATGCATATGGAAGTACTTACATATAGCGACGCGACATTTTCAAAAGTTTTGACTATTTTTCTTTTGCTTATTTTATGTTTATTATCTGTAAAAAAAAGTACAGTAAAGTGCAAATATGAAATACCTAGGACTTACCGTTGATTTTTGGAGAGTTTTTTTTTGTTGACACTTTCAACTCCTCAATCGTTTTATCCATATGAAAAAGTTGAAGAAAATACTTTGTATTAAAGAAAATGCGTGCCACCTTCAGCAAAAAAAAAATGGCTAAAACTCAACGATAAGCCCCGGTTACTTCAAAATTGCACTTTATTGTACTTTTTCTAAAAATTCCCATCCAAAAATTTTGAAATTTTGATGAAAATATTTCGAATTTTCCCAATTTTTTTGTACAATTGAAACTCGGATCTCAAAATTCATACAACTGTCTTACATTTTCATGCGCTGCTATGTACTTTCACAAAAAAACTAATAAATATTAAATAAACCAAAGAAAAATAGCCCAAACTGTTAAGATGTCGCGTCCCTATTTGTTTGCTCGCCACTGTATGTACACTTGTACATACATATGTATGTATGTATCTACATAAGAAGCCCCATATGGAAGTATGGCAAATATGGAAATATAAATATCAGCTCAATGGACAACAGCTGTAAATAATATTTTACCACGAAGTGAATGCTTTTTTATCGAATATATCGGGTTTTCGGCATAATCAACCGTACAATGCGGCATTTTATATTTTGTTTATATGAAAGTCAAATACATAAAAATCAAACAAAATGAAAACTCGATCAAAACAAAACCGAAAATGAATGTGAAAATGAGCGCCATATGCGCTGGAACTGAGCAACGGGGCGCGTTGGGCTGGACGTGTCTAAAGTGCACAGTAGCAACTACAATATGTATAAAAGCGCTAGACGCGCCATGCGAGCAACCAGTTGCGGCGGTGAACAAGTCGGCGAGCGCACAAATATATAAAGCTATCTCTAAAAATAAAACGAATATAAAATAAAATATTTGAACATTAAAAAAAAAAACGTGGCACGCGGCTAAGATTAAATACAACAAGAATTTACAGTGCCTTTATCAGCGGAAAAGTGCTTTATCAGACAAAAAGAGATTTAAAATTATTTCATATATTTAAACAGGTGATTTGCTATGTACAACTACAATATGTACTTAAGTATTATATTAAAAAGATTATTTCGTGTAGATATGTATACGAGTAGTGTTTTTTGTTACCTGTGGTTTATTTTGTATTTTTTCTTTTTTGGAATGGCTTGTGTTGTGGATTGTGAATATGGTGTGCTACTTTGCTGTATTTTACCCATTTTTTGCTCTTCTTAATTATTTATTTGCATATATAGAAACTTTTTCTTGCTGAATATTACATAAATGTGCATGTAAATTTGTACTAGGGCGGTTCGAAAATCTAATTTTTCTCAGATCCCTTGGTAATAGTGAAAATATATTGTATCATGAAGTCAACAACAAGCCTGCAAAATATTAGTATTTTATTTTAGTTGTAAGAGCCCGCGCATCGACCGCAAAGTGACCCACAGCACACTAGTCGAATAAGACCAATTCTTGTTATAAATTCTGGGATCGGCAAAATGGTTTGGTGCATATTATTAGATAATGAATCCGTTTAAGCAAAAGATAAAGTCAAATTTCATTTCTCGCAGCCCTTTAGCTTATCGTTAATCTCAAGATTATCTGTTTTCAATAAAATTTGAATTGTTCTCTGGATAATTGCACTGGATTATACTCAAAAGATGTAAAGAACAGCTTTAATATTGCTGGCATGCTGGCATGTCGCTGGTTCCAAATATTCTAATTTTTTTTTATATTAGCTATAGTTTGCGAATTTTTTCCTATATAGGGACAATTTCGGTAACTCTAACAGAAAAGCCATTATTTTCCATCATCGTGGAAAAATTTTGTTTATGCAAATGGGTATGGAAACACTGAACAGGCACAACCTCTAGAAACACTAATTGGTTTACTTATATTTATGCATACAATATAAAAATTGCAAATATAAGAAAATAACAAAAAACTTTGTTCAAATTTTTTTTTATGTTAAAATAATTTGTTTATAATCTGAGCGATTTTAATCATACTATTATCAAAATTCGGTAGCACTAAGTCTCGCCTTCAATTTGGTAATTATTAATTACCGATCGAGTAACATTTACCAAAGTTATATGGAAAAATTTAAGTGGATCTCCAGCTTTTTTCTAAAAAAATTTCTCTTAAATTGTATAAATAACTTTTACATGAAAGAGCCGGATTCCAGAAAAGGGTGTCAGGGAGTGACTTTTTTCGTTCAAGCTAAATGCAAAGCAATATCGTCCAATTGGAGAGTCCTCAAAAGGATTTCCCAGGATATGTTAAATACTATTGCATTTACCTACAGTCACTTTTTCACATCATGGAATTAACTGAAATATTTATTTATATCTAAACACTTATTGAACGTCCCCTACTTTCATATAACGGCAGAATTAGAGACCGCGCAATTTTCAAGACTGCATAAATGGACTTAAAATGGGCGTTTCTCACCCTAATTGTATTATGTTAATGTATGTAAATACTTATATACTTGAAACTACTATTAACTTATCAAACGATTCGTAATCTTTGACAATACATGTTTGACTTCATTCACCACAATCTTGAAAACTGCGCAAATCGGCCCATGGCCCACTTAATATTATATAAGCATCCGAAAACATTAGAACGTTTGAAATATATCTCGTCTCACTTTTTTGAATTTTTCACTTGGTTGCTGAAACAATGAAGAATTGAAAATTCATAAAGGAAAATTATAGTTTTTGTAAGTTTTATTTTAATACCTTAAAAACATGTAGACTTATTGAAAAATGATAAATGAACGTGAGATACTAAATTTAATAACCCTTAATTTGATATATCGTCCTATTTATAACAATTAACGCATACCATAGATATTACAAGCCAAAGTTAAATTTTAAAAATTCATACACTTTGATTCAATTGCGCGGGCTAAAGATAAGTTTTAAATTAATCTTTCGTGGCCAATAACAATTGGCTTAGACCTAAGACATCATAATATTACTATTACAATACGGTCAAATGTCTTTTATTTTCCCCCATACAAAATCGACCAAGCCTAATATGTGCATATCTTCAAAACCCAGTGAACTACATTAAGTGTCCTAATTATAAGCACACATATTGACAAATTTTAACAATCATTATTTTTTGTTATTTTTTTAATAAAAATATATGGGGTATTCACAACGGTGTCGCAAGTGTCGTATTGTCGTAAACTTTAAACGCCTAAAAATTGTATAAAGGGGGTTCGCAAAGTACCATCAAAGTCATATTATGAATTTTTGCAGAATTAAAAAATAGTTGGTGTAGTTTATGACATACAACAATACGACACTTACGACACCGTTGTGAATCCCTCAATTCTCTAACAAAAGCCGTATAAATACAAGTTTTTCAAAAAATTTTGAACAAAAAATTTGACGTCTTGGTGAAAATTAGTTGAATTTGTGCCCAAATATTGAAATTTTGATTTATATGGCTTTTGTTAGATAAGAAGCTATGCTTTTATAAAAAAGTAATGAATTTTTTTGTGGAATACGTGTTTATTATTTATTAAATCTTTCTTTTGAAACTAACAACAAACATTAACCTCAATAAACCGCAAACTAACACTTAATTATTCTAAAATTGAATGAACTACAAAACTTCATAATAAAACTCGCTCTCTGCAATCTAATAAAAAACTCGAAATTTTTGTGAAAGTTTGTTAAATTTTTTCAAATATTTCACAAAGTTTGAAATTTATATTTACGGTTTTTGTTAAATAACAAACCATATTAAAAAAAAGTAAAAATAATGGGAAACAAAAAAAAAAGAATAAATTGTTCCAACTTGTCAATACGGGTGTGCGCTTATAATTATGACGCGTGCTGCATTCAGTTAAAAGGGAACACATTTCTGTTGTTCACACTTGCCTGGTTATCAGGTTACCTGGTTATGTGCTTATATCTTTTATTCAGTTTATAACAATAACATACATACAGAATAATAATTTTTAACGAGATATTCTGATAACCAGGCCAGTGTGAACATACACATTGATTAACATGCTTAATTAAAGTATCTTAAAAAATTTGTTCCTTGAAAATTTTTTTTCATGGCGTAGCACAGTGGGAAATTTTCAACTGATATTATTCAAAAATTTTACTTGGAACGTATTTTTGAAAGTATTGACAGGCCCAAATTAAAAAAAAATACTTATATTTTTATCAGCAAATGGTTTAAGTAGAAAAATGTACTTTTAGTATAGTTTTTGTTTTTTTTTTGATAGCAGCCGTCATGATGGATTGGCCATTTTGAATTTTGCGATTATGTCATCAGAATATCGCGATTATGTCATCAGAATAGTAGTGACGAGTTTTGGATAGCAGCCGCCATAATGGATTGGTCATTTTGAATTTCGCGATTATGTCATCAGAATAGTATTCAAAATCGAATTCAACGACCTCAAAGACATTTTCACCATATGCTGATGAAAGGAGTATTTAAAAAAAGTTATGCACTTCGGTAAAAAAACTTACTCTTCTAGCCATTTTTGAACAAAATTATTGGTACATAAATATTAGCGAATACTTGTGACTGCTCTTTTCTATGCCAGTCAACAGTCAAACATGAACAATAAGTATTGGAGTGGCAGTCACCGGGCATAAGTTTTTGTTTTGACGTGCAACCACGGGCTTGGGAAAATAGGTTTGTTCCACAAGCTACACGAAGTCATTTGCAATAAATTCTGTCGCATAAACGTACTATTTAACGCATTAAATCACTTTCGTAATATTTCAATGGCCTCAAATACTTATAAATCGAAACCAACGGCTTCTCTTGCATAAACGTACATATGTTCATTGATAAGGATGAATACACACATCTGTTGTATCAACTGTATGCTGATAAGAATTCTCCTTTCTCTCCTAAACAAATTGTGCTACAGGGTTGAACGAAATTTGCTATTTACTGACCTTCGGTTATTCATCTTTTTGTTTTCAAAATGCCTACGATACCAAGAAACATGGTTACACTTTCTCGCACAATAGAATAAACAAAATATGACCACATATTTGGAAATCCCATTTTAACTTATCTCAGCTATTCGTGTTTACTTATACGTAACAAAAATTAAATTTTGTTTGCTAAATAATAAAAACATTAAAATTTTTAAATGTAGAAAATCTAAGATGACGCATTTATCAAAATACATACATATATTTTTTGGGGAAAAGATCAAAAATATTTTGTTTTAATGATATAATTGTATAATTCGGTTACTTAACCCCACTGAAATATTTCTGAAATATGTATTACTAGTGAAAATACGTATTATTTACTAGTGTTTATTGACTGAAATTCCAATGCGCATTTGTTAACGAAAGTACATAATGATAAGTGGGTAGGCAGGCGTATTGCCAAGCATTCCTGATAACAATGAATATTTGATAGATTTTTTTTTATTATGTCGCGCGCGTGTAACCAAAGAGGTCAGAGCTATCATAATACGACATAACATGACATTATCGGAATAGGTACGTACATTTATATATGTAGATATGTACATACATACAATACTTTTTACAAAAATTTCCCTCCATATTGGATCCGCCATTTTGTAAGGAGTTGCATATACATACATATGTACATATAATCGTAATTAGCGTCCTCAAACACATATGTGGTGTGCTAAAAATTGTAGAACTTCAACGACGCCTTCATATTTAAAATTTTTCGACCACTTTGCGTCGGTCCCTCTTTCCATTAATCGGTTTTTAAAAAATTTCGCCGACCACATTTGTATAACCAAACGAGCTTTTCCAGGAGGAGTAATTATTTATAGGGATGCAGAAAAAATATCGATGTTATGCTATTCGATGCATCGAATAAAACCGATGTTTTGGACCTTCCGATGTATATCGATATATCGATGTATTTTTTTCGATGCATCGACTTTTGTGTACAATGTACACTGTACATTAGGGTGCCCATCGAAAATGTTTTTTGTTTGGAATTTAAAGACCCCCTCCCCCTAATTTTATTCGTTTTTATGAGAAATATTATT